GTGACAGATATGGATCTATTTTTAATCTTCTGCATGTTGACATCCAGTTATGCCAGCACCATTTGTTGAAGATGCTTTCTTTTTTCCATTGTACAGTTTTGGCTTCTTTGTCAAAAATTAGTGGTTCATACATGTGCGGATTAATGTCAGGGTCTTCAATTCGATTCCATTGGTCCACATGTCAATTTTTATGCGAGTACCAAGCTGTTTTTATTACTGTAGCTCTATAATAGAGCTTGAAGTCAAGGATCGTGATGCCTCCAAAGGTTGCTTAATTGTACAGTATTATTTTAGCTATCCTAGGTTTTTTGTTTTTCCATATGAAATTGAGTATTAATCTTTCCAGGTCTGTGAAGAATTGTGTTGGTATTTTGATGGGGATTGCATTGAATCTGTAGATTGCTTTTGGTAAAATTGCCATTTTTACTGAATTAATCCTACCTTGGAAGATTTTTCCATTTTCTGATATCTTCTTCAGTTTCTTTCCTCAGAGACTTAAAGTTCTTGTCATATAGGTCCTTCACTTGCTTAGTTAGAGTTACCCTCAGGTATTTTATATTATTAGTGGCTATTGTAAAGGGTGATATATCTCTGATTTCCTTCTCAGCCTGTTTGTCATTTGTATATAGGAGGGCTACTGATTTTTTTTTTTTTTTTTTTAGTTAATCTTGTATCCTGTCACATTACTGAAGGTGTTTATCAGCTGTAGGAGTTCCTTGGTTGAATTTTGGGGGTCACTTATGTATACTATCATATCATCTGCAAATATGAAACTTTGACTTCTTCCTTTCCAATTTGTATCCCTTTGATCTCTTTTTGTTGTCCTATTGCTCTAGCTAGATCTTCAAGTACTGTGTTGAATAAATATGGGGAGAACAGACAGCATTGTCTTGTTCCTGATTTTAGTGGAATCACTTTGAGTTTCTCTCCATTTAATTTGCTGTTGGCAGTTAGCTTGATGTAAATTGCCTTTATTATGTTTAGGTATGTTCCCCGTATTCCTGATCTCTCCAAGACCTTTATCATGAAGGGGTGTTGGATTCAGCATCTAATGAAAGATCATGTGTGTGGTTTTTTTTTTTTTTTTCAGCTTGTTTATATGGTGTATTACATTGACAGATTTTTGTGTGTTGAACCAACCTTGCATCTCTGGGATGAAGCCTACTTGATCATGGTGGATAATTGTTCTAATGTGTTCTTGGAGTCTGTTTGCCAGTATTTTATTGAGTATTTTTGCATCAATGTTCATGAGGGAGTTTGGTCTGTAATTCTCTTTCTTTGTTGCATCTTTGTTTGGCTTGGGAATCAGAGTAACTGTAGCCTCATAAAAGGAGTTTGGTAATGTTCTTTCTGTTTCTATTGTGTGGAACAAGTTAAAGAGTATTGGTGTTAACTCTTTTTTAAAGATCTGGTAGAATTCTGCCTTGAAACCACCTGGTCCTGGGTTTTTTTTGGTTTGGAAACTTTTAATGACTGTTTCTATTTCCTTAGAGGTTACTGGTCTATTTAAATAGTTTATCTGGTCTTGATTTAACTTAGGTATATGATACCTATCTAGAAAATTGTCCACTTCTTTTAGATTTTTCCAATTTTGGGGAGTACAGGTTTTTGAGTATGACCTGATAATTCTCTGGATTTCCTCGTTTGTCCTCGTTGTTATGTCTCCCTTTTTATTTCTGATTTTGCTAATTTGGATGCTCTCTCTCTCTTTTTCTCTCTGCCTTTTGGTTAGTCTGGATAAGGGCTTGTTTATCTTGTTGCTTTTCTCAAAGAACCAACTCTTTGTTTCCTTGATTCTTTGTATTGTTCTCTTTGCTTCTATTTTATTGATTGCTGCTCTCAATTTGATTATTTCCTGGCATCTATTCCTCCTGTGTGAGTTTGCTTCTTTTTGTTCTAGAGCTTTCAGGTGTGCTGTTAAGTTACTAGTATAAGATTTCTCCAACTTCTTTATGTGGGCATTTAGTGCTATGAATTTCCCTCTTAGCACTGCTTTCATAGTGTCCCATAAGTTTGGGTATGTAGTACATTCATTTTCATTGATCTCTAGAAAGTCTTTCATTTCTTTTTTTATTTCTTCCTTGACCTGTTGGTGATTCAGTTGAGCATTATTCAGTTTCCATGAGGTTGTAGGCTTTCTGTAATTTTTGTTATTGTTGAAATCTAACTTTAAACCATGGTGGTCTGATAAAACACAGGAGGTTATTCCAATTTTTTTGTATGTGCTGAGATTTGCTTTATGACGGAGTATGTGGTCGATTTTAGAGAAGGTTCCATGGGGTGCTGAGAAGAAGGTATATTCTTTTTTGTTAGGGTGGAATGTTCTGTAGACATCAATTAAGTCCATTTGAGTCATAACATCAGTTAAGCCCCTTATTTCTTTGTTAAGTTTGGATCTGGCAGATCTATCCAATGGTGAGAGTGAGGTGTTGAAGTCTCCCACTATTAATGTATGGGGTTTTATATGTGATTTAAGCTTTAGTAATGTTTCTCTTACATATGTGGGTGCCCTTGTATTTGGGGCATAAATGTTCAGAATTAAAACTTCATCTTGGTGGATCTTTCCTGTGATGAATATGTAATGTCCTTCTTGATCTCTTTTGATTGATTTTAGTTTGAAGTCTATTTTGCTGAATATTAGGATAGCTACACCAGCTTGTTTCTTAAGACCATTTGATTGGAATTACTTTTCTCAGCCTTTTATTCTGAGGTAGTGTCTATCTTTGAAGTTGAGGTGTGTTTCTTGTATGCAGCAGGAAAATGGGTCATGTTTTTTTTATAGGTGAATTAAGTCCATTGATATTAAGGGATATTAATGACCAGTGATTGTTAATGCCTGTTGTCTTTTGGTGGTAGTGTGTGTGTATTTCTCTTCTTTGGGATTTACTGCTGTGGGGTTATCTATTGCCTGTGTTTTCGAGGGTGTATCTGACTTCCTTAGGTTGGAATTTTTCTTCTAGTGCTTTCTGTAGGGCTGGGTTTGTGGATAGGTATTGTTTAAATCTGGTTTTTGCTTGGATTGTCTTGTTCACTCCGTCTATGATGATTGAAAGTTTGCTGGGTATATTAGTCTAGGCTGGCATCCATGGTCTCTTAGTGTCAGCATTACATCTGTCCAGGTCCTTCTGGCTTTCAAAGTCTTCATTGAGAAGTCGGTTGTTATTCTGATGGGTCTGCCTTTATAAGTCACTTGGCCTTTTTCCTTTGCTGCTCTTAATATTCTTTCTTTATTCTGTATGTTGAGTTGTTTAATTATTATGTGGCGAGGGGACTTTGGGGGGGGGTCTAGTCTGTTTGGAGTTCTATAGGCTTCTTGTATCTTCATAGGCATTTCCTTTTTTAAGTTGGGAAAGCTTTCTTCTATGATCTTGTTGAATATCTTTTCTGTGCCTTTGAGTTGGTATTCTTCTCTTTCCTCTATCCCTATTATTCTTACGTTTGGCCTTTTCATGGTGTCCTAGATTTCCTGGACATTTTGTGTTATGACTTGTTGGGCTTTGGTATTTTCTTTGACGAATCTATTTCCTCTATTGTATTGTCTACACCTGAGATTCTCTCTTCCATCTCTTGTATTCTGTTGGTTATACTTGCATCTGTGTTTCCTGTTAGTTTACTCAGATTTTTTATTTCCAGCATTCCCTCTGTTTGTGTCTTCTTCATTGTTTGTTTCCCTTTTCAGGTCTTGAACTGTTTCCCTCACATGTTTAATTGCTTTTTCATGACTTTCTTGGTTTCTTTAAGGGATTTACTGATTTCTTCCTATTTTTTATTTGTCTTTTCCTCAATTTTTTTTATTGATTTATTCTAAAATTTTGTTTGTCTTTTCCTCAATTTCTTTAAGGGAGTTTTTCATTTTTTCTTGAAAGGCCTCTGGCATCTTCATGAAGCTATTTTTATATTCACTTTCTTTCGTTTCTTCTACATTGTGATGTTCAGGTCTTGCTGTTAGAGGAGGGCTAGATTCTGGTGATGCCATATTGCTCTTTATGTTCTTGTATGTATTTTTGCATTGACGGCTGCCCATCTCTTCCTCTAATAGGTATAAGAGGTGCCTGTGTCTGAGCAAGTTGCTATTGGTCCACTCTGTGCTTGTTGTGTCTGTGTCTTAGGGGGCCCCTCTGGGTCCAATCCTAGCTCTTGGTCTAATTAGAGCTGGCAGATTCTGTATCTCAGGGAGCTGCTCTTGGCTCAACCCAAGTTAGTTGATTCTGTGACTCACAGAGCCGCTCTTGGTCTTATCAGGGCTCTTGGTCCAGTCAGAGCTGACAGAGTCTGTGTCTCAGGAAGCCTCTTTTGGTCTAATGAGACCTGGCGGGTTCCCTGTCTCAGGAAGTTACTCTTGGCCCAATGAGAGCTGTAGGTTTGGTTTCCATGCCTCAGGAAGTTATTTGGGTCACAGGCAGATGGGTATTGGGGCAGGGCACGTAGATTGCAGGGTCCGATGTGGGGGTTGGGTTGGGGGTCCTTCCTGCAGGAGTTTTCCCTGCTGGCCAGCAACTGGGACAGAGTTGGGTGGGGCTTCCCGGGGGATCCTAGGGGCAGGACTCTCTGGGTGTGAGAGGAATCACTCACCTGTTGGTCCAATGAGAGCTGGTAGTTTGGTTTCCATGCCTCAGGAAGTTACTGGAGCCACAGATGGATGGGTATTGGGGCAGGGTGTGCAGATTGCAAGTTCCTATGGGGGGGTTGAGTGGGGGGTCCTTCCCACAGGAGTTTTCCCTGCTGGCTGGCAACTAGGGCAGAGTTAGGTAGGGGTTCCTGGGGATTGGCTGTGTCCCAGGGCCTGGGTCCTAGGTGCAGGACTCTCTCTTTTCCATAGTTTTAAAATCTGTAATACTCAACAACTTTTTAACTGAGATATAATGTGATACAGTTATGTAAACATTTACATTAGTAAGTCTTAAAATTGTTCAACCCCTTGGTGCTTTCCAGCATTTGTTTAGCCAGTTTCTAAGACTACATGCATGTTTTCTGATACGCTTCTGTTCTTACACCCTCAGCAATCGCGTGGAAGCCTGGACAAGGGATGTTGCATTCTTGCTCAGACAAGAAGGCAGGCCTGTGGTTAATCTTATCCCTGATAAGAATAGAAGGAGAGTGATGGAAAGAGACTGGCAGAATACAGACAGAGCGATCGACTGGCTAAGACAGGAAGCCATCAACTACTCCAGACCATTTGTCCTTTACTTGGGATTGAATTTACCACACCCCTACCCTTCCCCTTCTTCAGGAGAAAACTTTGGCTCCTCTACATTTCACACATCTCTTTATTGGCTTGCAAAGGTAAGTATTCTATGTGTGCTCAAAAGTAGACATTAATGTCACATGCAAAGCCACCTGGTGTTAGCTCAGTTTTACTTTTATTATAGAAAAATTGGGAACTTATACTTTTCTTTTCTTTTTTTTTTTTTTTTTTGGTTTTTCGAGACAGGGTTTCTCAGTGTAGCTTTGCGCCTTTCCTGGGACTCACTTGGTAGCCCAGGCTGGCCTCGAACTCACAGAGATCCACCTGGCTCTGCCTCCCGAGTGCTGGGATTAAAGGCGTGAGCCACCACCGCCCGTCCGGGAACTTATACTTTTAAACTGAACCATAATGAGTTTGTTAAAAGTATCATACTTTGGAAATAAAATATTAGAACTTGTTAACTGTATAGATTTACATATGATATGTCTATAAAAAGGAACTGGGCCGGGTGGTGGTGGAGCAGGCCTTTAATCCCAGCACTCGGGAGGCAGAGCCATTCGGATCTTTGTGAGTTCGAGGCTAGCCTGGTCTACAGAGCGAGATCCAGGAAAGGCGCAAAGCTACACAGAGAAACTCTGTCTTGAAAAACCAAAAAAAAAAAAAAAGGAACTGAAAGACATTATCTTTGCAGAGTGGGCAGGCCTCACATCCCCAGTTCAGAATGGTAAAAATAACCATACAGAATGAAACTTAAAAACAATCTTAATTGTCAAAAGAAGAAATTATTATTTTTTTTCTAAAAATTTTAAAACAATCTGCCAAAATTTTTAAAATTTTGCTTTGGTTTGTCAGTGGAGATAGGAAAATGTATTATTTAGTACACTGTGCTGAAAACACAGAAATGTTTGGGATCAGTGTTGTAAAAAGTGTGTGAGGTACAGTGAGTGTGAGCTGTTCCTGCTTTCCTCTGTTCAGCTCCTGACCTGCAGTGTGAGCATGCCTGCCTTC